AATAGAGTCTAGCCTGTCAATCAGGTCACAGCATGATGATGCTTCCTTGTGGGTGTAGTCTTCTCAGGAGGATTCTGGGAACTTCCTTTCTTTCTCCCTGGAGGCGGGTCTCTCTCTTTCTCTCTCTCTCTCTCTTCCTCTTCCTGTAGACAAGCCATGTGGAGCTACACTGAGACCTGAGTGAGCCATTCGGTGGAGACCTGCTGAAACAGCCCTGTGATACTTCCACTGCCATTGGATCTACAAGACTTTCAGTAACCGTCTGTGATCTTCCTGCATTTGGCATCATTGCAAGTGGCAACGTGAGTCTGAAGAGGAATTTATAGACTAGTATCGGGCATATGGGCTAATATCAGATGTATGGACTTGATCTGGACTGGGCTGGGATGTTTTCTTAATATATCATTACTTTTTGAAATAAAGCTCTTTCTTACTGAGAGACAATGATGATGGCTATCCCAAGGTCGTGGATTTGGAAGTCATTGGACTTCAGTTCAAGCCTCTTGCTCTTGAGGTTTCCCAATAATAGGCAACTTAAGACCACCATTAAAAAAAAAAAAGATCTCCATATATTTGCCACTTTCATAGCTTCTTAGCTTTTTTGACACATCTTCGTTCTGCAGACATAATCCTGCTATAGTGAATGAACCTTATCGAAATTTACACCTTGTGTCTAACCATCATTGATTTCTTAAACAGGATTCAGTCACTTACATATTTTTAATATGTAAAAGTATATGTCTCATGTATTTCAATCTAAAAAGCATTCCTATATATGAATATTTTCCAAATCTCAATATTACTTTAAACTCCTCAGCACTGGCTAGATTAAATATACTATTAGAATTCCTCAAGGTCCCATGGAGGTTACTTATAGTGTCTCTCAAAATAAACCGATAATGCTGTCACTAAAGCAGACCAGGTACATATATAAACCTTAGACATATGAATGGATTTTAAGTTCCCACTTCATTGTAAGCCCTAATTTAAGAACAATTAATTCTTGATACTTACCCTCATGAAGGGATCACTGAAGATACAGGTGCTATAAAATAGTACAGGAAGGAAATTAGATGGTGCCCAGTAGTCAGAAAGAATAGAGTCTGGTGTCTTAAAAACTTGTCTTAAAACAAGCAGAGTCAGCTAAGTCTGCAAGGAAGAAACACACCAGCATATATGAGCCAAAGATTGTAACTAATAAAATCAATGATCAGAGGAGGAAAATATGCTAGAGCCTAAATTCTGAGCATCCACTTTACAGAGAGGTATGTATGACAGTGAAAGCCCCAAATCCATCTGCAGAGTCCCCATATGGATAAAGCCTCAATTGAATCCCATAGACCAATGTGAATAATCTTGCCCTCAGACACAATTCAATGGGGAAGGCATTACCTCCACCCACTTGATAAACATATTCTGAAGATCATACCATAACAACAACAACAGCAAAACACAACAAAATACTAACCGTCATAACACCCAACTAATCTTCCCCATATCTCCACTCTGGTGGAGATGTCTCTCCATGTCCTCCTGAGCTAATCTTCCACTTGTTCTCAAGTCCCTATCAATCCATGTGCTCCAGTCTCCCTCTCCCTAAGCTCTCCTGAACTAATGAATGCTCCAGCTGTTTTCCAGTTTCCAACTCTCCATGTTTTCCTGATATAACCCTCGACCTGTACTATAGTCTCCATCTCTCCATGTCCTCCTGAGCTAACCCTCTACCTACACTCTATTCCCCAACTCCCCTGGGCTAACCTTCTACCTGTACTCTGGTCCCCAATACTCCTTACCCCCAAAGCTAACCTTTCACTGATATGATAATCTTCATCATTCCATGCCTCCTCACGTAACTCACATCCATTTATAATATGCTTTATATGTGTTGAGAAATTTTTGTGGGGAAATTTCATTATGTTTTAATTCCATTTTCCACAATTTTTTGTCCCTTCATATGTAAAAATGGGATAATAATAGAATAGAAATTGGGGAAGCATAAATCTGCTTCTTCCCCAATCTTCCCCCGCCACCCATATGCTAACACGTATTCCTAGTTAATCATATGTTAATTTCAGGTGTGTCATTGTGCAAGGATGCAGAGAATATAATACTATTTGTTTTTCTGTAATATATCTCATTTGTTAACAAATGCCCATGCCTTCAGGTGGCAGAAACTTAATCTCAATTTTTTCAAGATTTCCTTACATGTTTACTTGAGGTTTTGTGTAAATTGGGGTGGGGGGCAGAGTTGTATTGATAATAAAGAGTTCCTGGATGCACAAATGGTTAGCACTTGACTTTGAACCAAAAGGTTGTTGTCATAAAAGCAGCAATGAGAATATAAAAATTCATGACTAACCCTTATATGTCACTGACTCTCTGGCAGGCATCGATCTATGTGGCTTCCATGCCTTCGTCCATTTGATCCCCAAAATAGCCCAAGTTCTATTATGATCACATTTTTACACATGAAGAGACTTCAAAAACATGTGTGGGAAATGGAATTAAAATAGAATGGAATTTTCCCACAAATGCTTAAGCTCCCTCATATAAGGAAAGGGGTGTCCCGAAAATTATGTAATTTGCCCAAGAAAACAAAGTTCCTAAGGCTGATGCTGAATTCCAAGCTCTAAATCAGGGGTGTCAAACTGGTGGCTGTGAGCCACATGCGGCCCCCAAGGTAAATTTTTGTGGCCTGTGATCCTCTAAAATAAAATGAAAATAGAGAAAATTGTTATGAAGAAAATAGCGCTTAGGGGAGATCGAGCCAATACCAAACACACAATTCCCTCGTTCACCCTTTAACTACTGAAGACGAGTGTACACGTGGCCCAGTGCCTCTCCTGGGGGCCTGTGGACGTGTATAAACGTGCTGACTCAGTTCTGGTGATGTTTGGAAGTGATATGTCTGCCACTCTCAGAGTCACGTAATGCAAATAGATCCCAATAGCAAAAAGGCTAAAAAGAGCTCTCTAGGTTGCGCTGTTAAGAATCATACCTCGCGGCAGCGCTAGTTAACATTTTTAGAGGGAAGCCATTACGATTGTGCATCACGTTTGTCAGCTGTCCAACATTTTGTGCTTTTTATTAGTTACTTTGTTATATTTTCCTGTCACAACATAAGAGGTAACTGAAAACTAGTAGGAGGAAAGCGCTGGCAAGTTTTGGGTAAAAAAGAATTAATTTTAGTTTTATAAATACATTAAATAAATGTTTAAATAAAAGCAATTATATCGTGTTTTAATCATCCTATCCATATTCCTGAATCCTCACTTCAAAACATAAATTTAACAAAATTTGTAAATGTGATGTGGCCTGCTGCACCAAATGGCCCGCATTTTTTGGTGTTTTTTTTTTTTAATCATTTTATTAGGGACTCATACAACTCCCATCACAGTCCATCCATACATCAATTGTGTAAAGCACATTCGTACATTCATTGCCCTCATCATTCTCAAAACATTTCCTCTCCACTCAAGTCTTCGGCATCAGGTCCCCTTTTTTCCCCCTCCTTCCCTGCTCCCCACTCCCTCATGAGCCCTTGATAATTTACAAACTATTGTTTTGTCATATCTTGCCCTGCCCAACGTCTCCCTTCACCCACTTTTCTGTTGTCCGTCCCCCAGGGAGGAGGTCACATATAGATCCTTGTAATCAGTTCCCTCTTTCCAACCCATTCTCCCTCTACCCTCCCAGTATCACCACTCACACCACTGGTCCTGAAGGGATCATCCACCCTCGATTCCCTGTGTTTCCAGTTCTTTTTCTGTGCCAGTGTACATCCTCTGGTCTAGCCAGACTTGCACGATAGAATTCAGATCATGATAGTGGGGGCGGAGTGGGGGAGGGGGAGCATTTAGGAACCGGAGGAAAGTTGTATTTTTCATTGACTTTGACAGCCCTGCTCTCAACCATTACCCTAGGTCCCCTCGAATGCAATGCATTCCCAGCCAAAGGTGGTATCTGATTTGGGTCAGTCTCTATATTGGCCTTTGCTGAGACAGCTTCCTTCCAGCATCAGTGCACACAGGTCCCTGCTTCCTCATCCCTCACCCCTCCCTGCGTGGTTCCTTCATGACTGGATCGCTTTCGGCGATACTATCCTCCTTTGGGGTCACTCTGTAACTCTTTTTCCATTCTGAGCTTCGGGCATTATACTGACCCATCTAAAGCATCTCTGTCCAAGTACAAAATTCACCCACTTCCTGCCTCCTGAACCCTGAGCCGTAAGCCCGTGAACTCTGCTTTCTGCCCTAGCTTTCTGCCTTTGTTAGACTCCTCTAAAACCCTTCAATGGCTACTGTCTTCATTTCCCTACAGCTAGGCTGTATACAACTATCACAGTGTACGGATACTTTTCTCTCTCATTCAGCCTTAAGTCCTCATCACATGGTAATTCTCAGTAAATGTTAAAGATATGAATTACTGAAAGGCAAAGGAGAAGAGCCTATATGAAGAATGTATAACTCTTTCTATGATTTTAAACTAAAGCTGCAACTTTCTGAAGATGCTGAATTTTTGTGAGCAAGCCAGTTTCTAAATATGATTAAGGCCGGGAGGCGTAGCTACCACATATACTTGTGTATAAGCCAAGTTTTTCAGCACATTTTTAATTGCAGTTTTTGTGGTAAAATTAGGTGCCTCGGCTGATATTCAGGTCGGTTTATACTCGAGTATATACGGTAACGGAACAAGAAACTAGAAGGATTCCATTAGGTTACCATTGAGGAGTGAAACCAAGGGCCTGAAGAGGCAAATCAGGAATCACTTATTTTTCTTTAAAAATCCTTCTGTACTGCTCTCTTTTCACCCTCTGCATGCATTCATGGAACTAAGATTAAATATGAAAGCAAAAATAAAAAATTGTGTCAGCTTTGGACTTGGCAGAACAAAGCCCTGCAGTCCTTTGCAGCTCACTGAGCTGCAGACCGTCCACTTGTTCCATTTAGTTTCGTGCCCAGAACCCAGATTACCAATGAGTTGTTTACCCCAAGTCAGGCTGACCAAGAAGCAGAACTTTGAACTTGAACAAAGCAGCTTCAAAGGACCAAGGTGAACCAAGCGGGTCTGCTGACTGATTCCTGAAGAGAAGGAGCAAGGGAACAGATTGACTCCCTGGTTTTCATGGGGGAAGGCCCATCGTAACTTCCTTCCTCAGCGTCTCCTTCTTACCGATCCTGTGGAGATGAAAATTGACATCCATAGTCATATCCTACCAAGAGAATGGCCAGATTTGAAAAAGGTAATGGAGATTTATTTGCTGAATTATTTCTGAAACATCTCTGGGTTAATATATATATATATAAATATATATATATTATATAATATATATCTTTATTATAGACCATTCTCTTCTTGGGAAAATTAGAAGTTACCTTTCTCTAATTTGAGGGCAATTTCAAATGACTTAGTAACTCTGAATTTCCCAATTTTTAAGAATGATGTTTATATTTATTTTAAAAGGACTGTGAATAAAAGAAATGTATTCTCAAAATCCCATTTTTCTCCTCAAAGGAAGGTCTTCAAAATTTCTGGATCCTTTAAGACAGGAAGTTTTACTTCCATTTAAATCACATATTCAGCTGTTGGGTAGCTGTGTGCCAGCTACAGAATGTAACGCTGCAGCTTCGAGTAAGAGACTTATAATGGAATGGAATGTGATAGGTTTCTGGGACTTCTAAGACATATCTCTTTCCCAAAATGTTTAAAATGAGTTTGAGAAGCACCAAAATATAGCAGTGTGGACTTTTTTTTTTCTACTTTAGGACATTATCTGAAATCATCCTTTTTGACATTCTTTAAGGTATAAATCCTTATTATGAAAAACTAGGGAGTGGGTGAATTAAAAAAAAACACACTCTTCGGGGGGTGGGGAGTGGTGAGGATGGCACGGAGCCTTTGCACAATGAATGTCCCTAAAGAATATTCTGTGTTTTTCCAAAGATGGAAAGGACATGTTCTTCTGTCATTAAGAATTTTTTTCTTGAATATGCACAGAGGAACGTGAGGAACATCAAAGAAAATTACCAATGGTTTGAGGTGTACTTAGGGTAAGCATGAGTTTATGTAGTTAAGGATCAGGCTTTGAGGAGCCCTGGTGGCACTGTGGGATAAGTATTGAGCTGCTGACCTAAAGGTTGGCTGTTCAAACCCATCAGCCACTCCAGAGGAGAAAGATGAGGCAGTCTGCTCCTATAAGCATTTATAGTTTCAGAAACCCTAAGGCGCAATTCTACTCTGTTTTGTGGGGTGACTACCAGTCTGAATCAACTTGAAGACAACGAGTTTATCAGGTTTTATCCAGTCTTTCGCACCATTGATAATGTTTCATGTTTTACTGTCTCAACTAAGAAAAAATAATTCACCCAAGCTCTAAGTAAGACGTGGTTCATTGTGTAGGTAAATGAAACCATTTTCTTCTCATAAGTACTTTCTTCGGTGGCAAAGTGGGTACATGTTGGACTGCCAGCTGCAAGGTCAGCAGTTCAACAAAACAGCAGCTCCATGGTCAAGGTTATTGTCCTCTGGGAAAGAGTCACAGTGTTGGAAACCCACATGGGCAGTTCTACTCTGTCCTATAAGGTTACTATGAGTCAGAATCAACCCAATAGTAGTGAGGGTTATTTCTGAGGTACACTTTCTGGGAGAATGTCAATCTTAAGTGTTTTATTGTTCTCTAGGAAGGTAGGGGCCAGACCCTCTAGATCAGTGATTCTCAACTTGTGGGTTGCGACCCCTTTAGGAGTCAAAGGACCCTTCCACAGGGGTCGCCCGATGCATAACAGTAGCAAAATGACAGATATGAAATAGCAACGAAGATAACTTTATGGTTGAGGAGTCACTACCACTTGAGGAATTGTATTAAAGGGTCGCAGCATTAGGAAGTTTGAGAACCATTGCTCGAGTTTGAGATTACAAGATATGGAACCATTTTTAAAGAACTTACTATTAGTAAAAACTGAAGCAATCAAACTAATGCCTCCTAAAGGAGATTAAATGCCCAGAGGGGAACTTGCTGTTCTAAATGCTGCTGTGCTGGTCACATTTTAAAAATCATTTTATTAGGGGCTCATACAACTCTTACACAATCCATACATACGTCAATTGTGTGAAACGCATTTGTACATTCATTGCCCTCATCATTCTCAAAACATTTGTTCTCCTTAAACCCCCGGCATCAGCTCCTCATTTTTTCCCCTCCCTCTCCCCTCCCCCTCCCTCATGAGCCCTTGATAATTTATAAATTATTATTTTGTCATATCTTCCACTGTCCGACGTCTCCCTTCACCCACTTTTCTGTTGTCCGTCCCCCAGGGAGGAGGTCACATGTAGAGCCTTGTAAACAACTTTCTCAAAGTGTAAAAAAGATGTCAATCATTTCATGAAAGGAATGCACCAGCGACTTTCTGCGTCTGTGACGTCATGGGTGTACATTTGGAAGTCACCCACCGATGCTTACTTGTTACGATGCTCGCTGTTTTTCTGCTCGTGATTTGTGAGAGTTCGCCTGATGACTGATAGAAGGAGTGAGTGAGTGAATCTCTTTATAATGCAGGCAAAGGAAGGAACAGACTATACTCCCTGATCTTGGACTTTTTGAAAAATCGAAGGTGCAGTACAGTAATGCAGATCAAACCTACTCTCCAACCAATAGCATTCATTCCAATATTACCACTTTCCTCTTTGAGGTCCAGAGACAATCCTCTTGAAAGGTTTTGGGAACTACCATGGTGGTCTCTAAAGGGCACTGCCCATCCTACTCTCCCCTAGCCCAGAAAGAGCTGCCTAGAATGGCCTATCCTCTAAGAGGATGCCATAGTAACAGGGGGCTCCAGTCTGCATTGCATCCACCTGCTTGTCCAGATGAGGCACAAATAGCAAGAAGTAAGCCAGTCTTACCTAAGGGATTCTTTACCATTAGAGGAGACTTTCCAGTCGTCCTCCCCCACCCCCCACACCCCTGTTGGCAGGTACAAGGACTATCATTCAAAGAAAAACATGGTTGTTCTATTCTTTCTCATTAGATTGCTAGGTTGGGATTCAGTCTTAAATTCAGGAATGCCAGAGGATTTCAGACAACCCCAAAGTGAATTAAGCCAATGTCCAAGAGAAATACCTTGATTCTGAGGGACACACTCCAGATTCTTTGGGAAGGATGGTTATCTTGCTATTAAATTTAGGACTCAATGAGATGCTCCACTTGGGGTGGCCACAATTTCTTCTGCTCCCCAGTAGCTCCCTTTATAACACCTGGCTCCGCCCAACTCCTTCCGCCAAGTAGGTCCACAAAGGACGTTATCACAGAGCCATTGGAACCTAGCTGCAAACCCACAGTTCAAGTTATTGGATCGGTGGTAGGCAGTTCAGGCAAGCCAGTGATTAAACAACTAGCAGAAAACAATTGTCTGTTTTCCAGCTAGAATGAATGACGTGACTGAAGGTAGATCTACATGATGCTGGGGCCCCCTCTCTCTCCCTTTCTCATTTTCAGTCAGAGAAAAGGGCGTATTAAAGAGCCATGAACTATAACAGATAGTCTTTTGTCTTGAAATTGCTCCTCAATGAGGAAAATATGATTTCAAAACATCTGTCCTTCAAAAAATATCTCCCTTAAAAAAGCCCTTAAAAAATCTTAAATCCTTAAAAGAAAAGTCTCCTAATAAAACAATTAAAAGAATAAATGTATCAACATATAACCACCTCCCAGGGGGACAAACAACAGAAAAGTGGATGGATGGTGACAGAGTACAATGTAAGGTATCAAAATAATGATCTATAACTTATCAAGGGTTCATGAGGGAGGGGGGGGGGCGAATGAGGAGCTGATACCAAGGGCTCAAGTAGAAAGAAAATGCTTTGAAAATGATAATGGCAACATATGTACAAATGTGCTTGACACAATGGATGAATGTATGGATTGTGATAAGAGATGTAAGAGCCCCCAATAAAAGTATTTAATAAAAAAATAACAATACTAGATGTAAGTAGAAATTAAAAAAGAGCAAACTTGTGCTACTATTTTAGAAGATGAAGCCCCTTTGAGATACTATCTGCTTCCCTCCCCTGACTGATGACCCCAAACAGTTGTAAATCCAAGACCTCCCTTCCCTTTAAAATATTAACAGACACACCCCCATGACCTTGACCTCCTCCCTGAAATGAAGAAATAGAAAAGCAGAGTCCACACACCTGGGCTAATGATTAACCGAGGATGAAAAGCCACTGAGATCTGAGACGCAGAGGCCTCTTCTCATTTTCTGTTATTCACGATTTTGGTCAGAGTTGCAGTTAGGATCTTTGTAAAAGAACACCTGTCCACGGGGACAGAGGAGCATTGGTGGCATAGAGGGGTCATCTTTCAGCCCAAATAGAGGTGGAACAAACACACCCAGGAGCTACCCACGTCTCAGACCAATCCACTGTGGGAGACTCATACTGATAGCTTGAGGAGAAATGGATGTGCTCTGTACGTTTTCACTTAAATAAAACAAGAGAGCAACGGTAAAAGGGAAACATTAGCGACTTCGAGATATGAACAAAATCAAGTATTTTCTCCATAATTTAATCTAAATTTTCTTATCCATGCTAGACAAGAAGAAACGCCCTTTATATTGTGACTCGGTACAAACATTTGTACGACACTTGAATGATGAAGTAATTCATCATCACTGTTGTACCACCGAGTGATGGTACCACCGAGTCTGCGCCAACCCACAGAGAACCGATCCACTGTCTGGTCCTGCCCCTTCCTCGCCATGGTTTCTTTGCTTGAGCCCGTTGTTGCAGCCTCTCTGTTAATCCATCGCATGGAGGGCCTTCCTTTTTTTAAGAAGTCCCTCTGCTTTAACAAGCAGGAGGTCCTTCTCCAGGGACTGGACTCTCCTGACAACACGTCCAAAGTATGTAAGACCAAGCCTCTCCAACCTTGCCTCAAAGGCATGCCCTGACCACACTTCTTCCAAGGCAGATTTGTGTGTCCTTTGGCTGTCCGGGCTGCTTACACTACTCTTCCCCAGCACCACAATTCAAACGTGTCAGTTCTTCTCTGGTCAAAATCGCTACTGGAATTTTTATGTAAAAAATGATTATTTAAATTGACTGCTGAGCACAATATCGAACAAAATTACCGTAATATTGATGGCAACTCAATGCCTGAGGAATCAAAAGCCTTCAATACAAGGGTAAATTAAAAAGTGTGACTACCAAATCATAGAAACCTGTATTAAACAGAAATAGCAAAACATGGGGCTATTGCTTCTCAACATATCCTCCCCACTTCGGAATAAACCCACCCATGCATGGACTGGAACCGTAGTAGCAATACCTTTTGACTCCCCCCCTCCCTCTCATACATAATGGAAACCAATTGCATGCAACGGTATTTACTTTTACTTCATGGGAGACATCTTCAATATGTCTCATTCTATTCCATCCCTTTCTACATTAGCTTGAGTTTCTCAGGAAGGAAACTCGGAGACAAGGACTTAAACCGGTGGTTCTCAACCTTCCTCAGGCCGCAACCCTTAAATACCTTTCCTCATGTGGTGGTGACCCCCCAACCATAAAATTATTTTCGTTGCTACTTCATCACTGTCTTTTTGCTACTGTTATGAATTGGGCGGCATGTGTGAAAGGGTCGTTTGACCCACCGGTTGAGAAGCACTGGCTTCAACACACGTAGTTTATTTTGGAGGCGAGTCCAGAAACACCAGGAGAAGAGTGAGCCCGAGACACAAGGCAGCCAGTGAAGTGGTTGCCCTTGAACCAGTGCCTGCTTTAATAACAGGTGTGCTGGGAGCCTGACTATCTCAGTGCTCTTCAGCCTGAGGGTACAGGACAAGGGATGTTTATATACCAACTCCCTTTGGTCATTGGTTGAGGGCTGCTGGGTAGGGGACATTAATTCCTCCACTTTTAACTTGCTAGAAGGTCATCCAAACAGATAGTAGTGGCAAAAGGGAAGACCTCAGTCTGAGCCGGGCAGGTGCGGCAGGGGACGAAGAAAGTGGCAAAGAAGTGTTAAGTGGAGGAGACTCTGTTCCTCATTCCTTTTTCAATATTGCATGCTTTTCCAAATAGCTGGTTCTCTAGCCGCTAAATTGATTTCATGAGCTATTCAGAATTGCGAGTTTCCAAGAGAAGATGTTCTCAAGATTGACCCTTCGGGTCTGTGCACCCTTAAGGCCCTGTGAGAAGTTAAATGGTGCATGGGCAAACAGCTTTAATATCCGTCCTCATTGAAAAGTGACATCTATCTTAGGAGAAAAGATAACAGGATCGGTTGCACCACATTCATTTTCTGCTCAAATAGATTTACTTGGTGGGGAAAAGGTGAGTTAATCTGCTTCTACATAAGAGGAGCCCTGGTGATGCAATGGTTCCACATTGGCCTGCTAGCCGCAAGGGCAGCAGTTGGAAACCACCAGACGTTTCTAATGCCATCAAGAGCGCCAGTCTCATAAACTCCCAGGGGCGGTTCTAGCCTGTCTCCAGTCTCGCCACGAGTTGCCATCAAGCTGGATATGAGAAGGAATCTGAGAGTGACCCTGGAAAAGGTGGAGGTCAGAACCCCCTGCCATAAGCACCGCCCACCTGTTTGCTCTTGAGTCTAATTGTGTGTTTCCTCCCGCAGAGATACGGCTATGGAGGCTGGGTGCAGCTTCAACACCACAAAGAGGTGAGCACCTCCCAAATGGTCAGCACTGGGACCCACAGGACTCCCTAACTTGTGCTACTCGCTGCAGGCTGGGCCTCCTACAAGCTCAACGTGTCTGTCCTCTACTTAATGTTGTACTAAGCAAGGGACTGGAACCAAGATTTCTCAAGATTATTCGAAACAATGGAGGTAATATGAAAGAGCAGGCCTTAGGAAGATGAAGCTGTCGTTTGAAAGGCTAACACCACTCCTCCACCCCCAGCCCCTGCAGGACCCAACCAATTTGGGTATTTATGGCTTTGCCTGCAGGAGGTGACCTGATCCTCTCCACAGTATACTACACTTACAAATACACTAAGGCCGCATAGTGGCCCCCTGTGGGTTTCCAAGACAGAGTAGGAAGCCCACCCAGTCTTTCTCCCATGGAGCTGCTGGTGGTTTCGAACTGCCAACTGTGCCATGAAACCACAGCACCACCAAAGCTCCTGTTTTGTTTGTTTGTTTTTGCTTTGCTTTTTAAGGCCAACCAAATAAATAGGACTGCTTAGATTTGGGCAGAGGCTAGAGAAATGAAACATTGGCCATCAAGAGTAGAAGCCACTATTACTAAGGACTGAGAATGGTTATGGGGTAAAGGGAGAGGAGGAAGGGCTTGGGGTGGATCACTCTGTAAATAATGAGGCCTGGGAGTGGGCTAAAAGGCCAGATCAGCACAGAGGTTGGGTCTGGCTTTATTTTCAGAGGTACAGTGTGCCCTCCCAGCTGAAAAACAGGCATGGTATGTTCAGCTCCAGAGGACTTAAAGCCTGGGAATACAGTTTACCTGCAAGGCAAACCCAAGGCAACTTGGTGGTACGGTTGGGATGGTATAAGTATACCAAGTGCAAAGGACAGGGCACTGAGAGTCTGGGAAGGCCCTCTGAAAGCAGGATGCCCATGCTGAGTCAGAAAGTGGGGTTGGAGGTCTGCCTAGGGAAAAGGAAACCAATGTTCCAGAAAGACCTGCCAGCATGTGGAACATCCATTCATCACAGCGATTCTGGCTGAAGACAAGTTCCCATAATGATACACATCTTATCTTAGTCTCATCAGGGGGCCTTCAAAACTCAATCCAATCAGAAGAGTGGTTTCTAAGGGGGTTCTCCGGACCATCTCGATTCAGGGCGGAAAAGTCAGCCCAGAAGGAAACAGCAGCTGTTCTTTGGGTCTCCAAAGGGGAAAATTTGATTGATCTTTCTAAAAAAAAAAAAGGCCAGAAAAGTTAAACTGAGAATCCCTTCCCCCCCGCCCCCCACCCCACCCCATCATGACACTGTACCGGCTCACTTTTCAAGGGCAGCAAGGGCTACACTAAAAGAATTAGATCCGGAAACCTTACCCGGTAGCATAGACTTGATGTGGCATCGTTAGAATTCAGTTTGTCCCCCAAACTCAAAGAGCACTGAAAAGGATCACAACTTGAGTCCCTCAAGGAGGCCACAACTAAAAAAAAAATGTTTTTAGATGCTACACCTGACCATTTGACATGGTGTAAATCAGAGTGCAGAATTCCTTGGAGAAGGCTTGGGAAGAAGAAAACACTACTTCCAGGAATGGACAGCTCTAGGTGGAGGATATGCTGAGAAACAATAGCTTCACATTTGATATTTTTATATTATTTCATTAAAGTATCTGTGATTTTGTAGCAATCCTTTTTTACTTACTCTCATATATACGCTGAAGCAATCCAAATCTACTGCCATGAGTCTATAGGACAAAGTAGAAGTACTCCATAGGGTTTCTGAGACTGTAAATATTTACAGGAGCAGATAAACAACAAATAAACAAACAAGCTCACTGCCTGTGTTAGTCTGGGTAGACCAGAGAACCAAATCCACAGAAACTCATATGTGTATAAGAGAGAGTTTTATATAAAGGGTAAGTGTACATTCAGAAAGCATCCCAAACCAATCCAGTCCAAACTCATAAAGTCCAACATTAGCCCATATGTCCGACACCAATCTACAAAGTCCTCCTCAAAGTCACAAAACACACGTGATGATGCCAAATGCAGGACAATCACAGGCCAGTGGGTAGAAAGTCTTTGGATCCAGTGGCGTGTAAACGCTGGCAGGGGTCTCCACGTGGCTTGTCCAGCGCCCAGGGCTGCATCGGGCTAGGTCCCTGTGGCTTCTCCTCAGGGATGTCTCGCAGGAAGTGAGCCTTACCAGCTGAGACATAGAACTAGCTAAGGCAGCCTCACACCGGTCCAATGATCAGAGAGCAAGAGACAAGAAGGGTGAGGCTCGCTGAGCCATTTATCTCTCCACCCTTCAATTAAACTCCCCTTCAATTAATTCCACATGTGTTCATCAGTCAGGTCGGCACAATAAACCTAATTAACACACTGCCATCAAGTCAATGTGGGTTTCTAAGACTGTAACTCTTTACAGGAGTACAAAGCCACATCTTTTCCCCAAGGAGCGGCTAGTGGTTTTAAACTGCCGACCTGGTAGTTAACAGCCCAAAACGTGATCACAACTGTCCCCCAGGGCTCCCTACAGGGGCAGGCTGCCTGTCCCATCTTTTTTTCCATGAAGCAGCTGGTAGGTTTAAACTACTGACCTTGTGTTTAGCAGTCCAGCACTTAACCCACTGCATCACCAGGGCTCCTAAAAATAATGATGTTATTAGACGTACAGTATATCCATACTTATGTTCATTGATGCTTTTTTCACAAATAGCAAAGAGATGGAAACAACCCAAAACCCCATCAACAAATGAATGGATAGGCAAATTGTGGTACATACATATAATGAAGTACACACAATCAAAAAGAGCAATGATTTGTATGAAAAGCATATGATAAAAGATGGACCTGGAGGCCATAATACTGTCATGCCTGTAAGGACAAATACTGATTTCTCTTTCCTAAAAATAATAGATCTATATGAAGAGAGAGACCAATGTTCATTGGTGGTTACCAGAAAGAGGAGTCGGGGGAAGGTGCTTTACATGCCAGAGAAGTGGTACTTTGGGTGATGCAAAAATTGGCCTCTGGTGTGCATGTAGTGACCAGAACACAACCAAAGTGAAATCAAGTGTCTGAGCACATACAGATGAGTATAGGATATTGGGATACAAAAGGGTGCAGGTGTATACATGGATAAAAAATACAGAAGTATTCATTAAATCCAAATCCATTGTTGTCACATTGATTCTGACTCATGGCCCCATACAGACAGCATGGAACCTCCCCATAAACAATTTCAAAGGCTTTATGGGAATCAGGCTGACACAGTGCTCCTGCTGAGCACCTGGTCATTTCCAAGTGCTGATATGTGGCTTCGCAGCCAAGTGCTTTGCCCTCTGCACCTGCAGGGCTCCTTAGAAGACTCGATAGGTACGAGTATGTACAAATATGTCAGTGCGGGCATATATTCATTGAAGACGCAAATATGAGTAGTTCTCAGACATAACGAGGCATCTTCCAAGACTGGTTTTCTTGGTGTGAAAACTTAGGGCCATAGTCTCATGGAACAACTAGTCAATTGGCATAACATAACTCATGGAAATTATGACCTGCGTCCTAGTGAGGTGAAGAGTGTCTGGCACCTTATAAGCTTGGGAGTGGCCGTCTAAGACATAACTATGTCTTTCCTCTCCTGGATAAAAACAGTGAAAAGGTCAACAAAATTTCAGAGAAGAAAACAAGTCTACAAGACCCATCACCTCATCTACCCTAAGAGCAGCAGAACTAGATTGTGCTGGCTGCCTTCAAGGATCATTCTAACTGGGGTCACAGTAAATATTCCCAGGTAGTAAATATTCCCAGGTAGAATGGGAGAAAAATGAGGATAAGAACTCAAATTATACACATAATATGTTTTATATATAATATATTGTAATAAATAACTATAGATGTTACAGCATATACAGACAGATGGATAACATAAATATTATCGATATTATATATTGAAATTTGAAATTAAGTATACCTATGTATATATTATAACTGTGTACAAAATTATATATAGGAGGTTTGAGTGTAAGCTTTCATCAAAAACTCAATAAAACATATTTTTAAAGGGGTGATTTCCTACCAGCATCATCAGCATCAGTTTGGAATTTTAAGAAATGCAATATCTGATTCTCAGACCCCTGCACCCCAGACCTACTGAATTTGAAACCCTGGGAGTGAGGACCACAAATCTCTGGGTTAGTGGGCTTTCTGGGTAATTCAAATGCACACTGTGATGGTTAATTGGATGTATCAATGTGACCAGGCTGTGAAGCCCAATTGTTTTGTTAAACCCTAGGCAAGATGTTGCTAG